ACACAAGAACCAAGATCCAGTTTACTCAGCGTACCTCCTTTTTTGACTGCAACTCTCAGAATTCCCTCAGTCGTCCTGGCCATGTTGGGAGATGTAGCCCTCCAGAGTTAACATGCCCAAGCTCTGACTGCAAGTGACCACCAACCGCTACTCAGATGGCAAAGTCACAAACGTACCCCAGGAGGTGGGGGGAAAGAAATGATTCCTAGTTTTGCCAAATCTTCAAGAGAGGGAATGTCAACAGGTACATCACCGTGCTGAAGAAAGAACAGAGTTTTCTTGAATAGATTTACTTAGAAGAGATTTGTCACTGCCTTCCAATGAGGCTGAGAGAATGTGACTTGCCCAAAGTCACCTAATGGGTTTCTCTGGCTGAACAGGGATTTGAACCCTGGGCTTCCTGGGGTCCTAAGTGCAACACTCAAACCACTGCACCATGTTGGATCACAAAAAGCACCCTATTCTTGTCCAAATGCCCTCTGCAGCACATCTCCATCTCTATCTTGAAGTCAAGATAAGTTAGGGAGGGCAACTCCCCCCCCCCCCCCCCCCCGCCTTCCTAAAGCTGCTCATTTACACTGGGAATGAGGTGAGATCTTATTTATATGTATATCTCTATTAATAGAGGCCTTTGCCCAGCAGGGCTTTGACAGCTGTTAACCTGTCATCCTCCCTGCCACTGCTGCTCCTCTACTAGGAGGATGCCAAGTGGAGACAAGTGCAAAGTGCTAGGTTAAAAGCGGAAGGATACAGCCATACAGAGGACGGCCAATTTCTTTTTCCCCCTTGTTTTTGTGCCTGTAAAACAACAGTCTTGCATCCAACAGCTGAACAAAGGGAGAAGAATCACCCCCATCTGCATGCCAAGAAAAGGTTCCAAACAGCAAGGGCAGAGCAGCTGACGAATTTCTTCTCATGAGATGTTGCTGATTAAGGCAGAAAAGCAGAGCCAGTCAGGGAATTGGCAACCCCAGGAGAACCCAGGCTTTGTGCATCTTCTGAACACCCATTATGCGCATAGGAGGAATGACACACTGAACATCACTTTTCCAAAGAGCAAGAACACAAATGCAGACATATACACCTACCTTCCTTCCTTCCTTCCTTCCTTTTTAATACACAAAGCACCCATCATTTCCAACTCTCTTTCTCTTCTCTACATGACTACAAAAGGCAGAGGAAATCCACTGTCATGGATGATCACCCTGAAACCTTGTTTGCAGAAGTACTAAAAAACCTACCGTACTCAGAATGAACTGGGATAGAACGTAGGCCTCCATTTATTTTAAATCTTCCTACTGGCTGATCACAAGACAGTGTGGTGTAGTGGTTGAACTGCTGGACCAAGACTCTGGGAAACTAGGGTTCAAATCCCTGCTCAGTCCTGGAAACTACTAGGTGACAGGAGGCATGTCGCCCAACAGTAAATCCCATCTGAAGAAATAGTGCCAAGAAAACACTAGGATATGATTTCAAAAAGTCAAGTGGGCTTGAAGGCATACAACAACCATCAGCATATATGATAAAGACAAACACGTTGTTGTGTGCCCTCAAGTCATTCTCAACTTATGGCAACCCGAACATGGACTATCATGGGAGTTTCTTGGCAGGATTTGCTCAGAGGAGATTTGCCATTTCCATTGCTATTCTCTGAAGCTGAGAAAATGTGACTTGCCCAAGGTCACCCAGTGGGTTTACACGGCCAAGCCGGGATTCAAAACCTGGTCTCCAAAGTCTTAGTCCAATGCTCAAACCACTACACCACGCTGGCTCCTATACAAGTACATACCCAAGTTCATAAACCAAAGCCAAAAAATAAATTTTTGCATGAAGAGAGTTAGCTAGCACACCAGGGCAATCGATCCTAGCCTAGCCTTTTCCATGGAATGCCAGCTTTCAATA